TGGGTATCTGGTAAAGGAATAGATCTAAAGAGGGAAGAATCCAATCCCAGTGCCAGGTTTTGTGATACCTTGATGCAACCGTAATAACCTACTATAGCGCAGTACGGGCTGTTGCGCAACAACTGTAGAACGTTTGCGATTACGTCTGTTTTGGATATTATGCGGATGGTGAACGAATTTGTGAACAGCAAAGCAAGATACGCCGAGCAGAGAAACAAAAGCCTCTCCGAATTCATACTCTTCAGGCAAAAACAGCTCGAATAGCAATAAATATGCTGATAATAACCACCCATTGCCAAATTCGTTGATGAATTCCTTCTCCCCCCTCCCCTCCCCCGGCGAAACCGAACGTTCGGCCTTACGCATAAGAGCAGCGTGTTTACAACGTGGTCGCCAACTGGGGTTTAAACACATGGTTTGTTTTTCCATATAGCTGTAAAGTAAGCCCAAAAAGCAGAAAACAGTAAGCAGTAGATGCAGGATTTGCGGTCGGACTGTACTCATGAAAGAAGCGGACAAACCCATGGAGAAAATTGGGAGCTGGGCAGCTAGCGGACTGTACCAGTGAATCGTCTCCTCGAACATCACTCGCTGATGGGTCACGAAAAACACAAACGACCCTACACCGCTGATGCTTGAATGTATCACACATACTGTTAAATTACACAACCGATAACGCCTGCAAATTATAGTAAAATATCAAAATGCATATGTGCTCGATCTCAAATGAAATTCCCTTGCAAGCGCTGTAAGCCGATTAATGCACCTTTTGGCTTATCTACTGCATCTTAACTAGCAGTAAGTTGCAAATAATGCACGCCAGTAATATTTCTTTTATGAGTTTTTGCATATTTGTGCAAATGCAAAAGCGTATATTTGCAAGGGGCATCTGCATATGTATGAATGTGTGTATGTGTGTGTGTGCGTGTATGTATGTACGCGTGTGTACCCATATGCTTGTATTTTGTCACTCATTTTCAAATCAAGAACCAGAGAAGCTAGGAAGGTGAAACTTCCAAAGCATGTACTCATCCCATGCGTGACCCTCCCATTTGATATTATCGTCCACATACTTCTCAGTCGCGTACACCGAAAAGACAACGTAAAAGTTTTTTGGTGGGGAAACGATCCGGGACATGACAAGAAGCAAAAATTTCACAGAGGTGTTCTATGTCCGCGTGTTAGTTAAAGATTTTAAATTCAGTTTGGATGCACACCCAAATCACGTGTGCGGACATGTGAGAGTTGAAAATGTTCAAACTGCAACATCGCAGTAACATCCCAGTGATACATGCATTTTTTTACAGAAAGAAATCATGCAAAAGCAATGGTCGCACCGGCGAGCCTGGTGCGTTGCTAATTAAGTTTAAATGTGTAAAACAAAAATCTGGACTAACACTGGATAAAAACTGTCGCAGTGCAGTAAGCATTCGAAAATATGC